TAAAACATTTTTAAAAATTATATACATATACATATATATATGTACATATATACACATATACATGCACACACGCGCACACACACACAAACGGGCGCCTGGGTGGCTCAGTCGGTCAAGTGTCCGACTTCAGCTGAGGTCATGATCATGTGGTCCATGGGTTCAAGCCCCTGCATTAGGTTTTGTGCTGACAGTTAAGAGACTGGAGACTGCTTCAGATTCTGTACCTCCCTCTCTCTCTCTGCCCCTCCCCTGCTTGTACTCTCTCTCTGAAAAACAAATGTTAAAAAACTAAAAAATATATATACACATATATACATGTATATATCATATACATGTGTATATATGTATATACATATCATGTACATCATATACATGTATATACATATCATGTACATGTATATACATATCATGTACATGTATATATGTATACACATGTATATATATGTATATATATGTATATACACGTATATACATGTATATATATGTATATACATGTATATATATGTATATATGTGTGTATACATGTATATATGTGTGTATATATATACATATATATATATAAATAATTAAAGATGGAAACAAAAAACAACAGTCTTGACTACAGAATTCTCTCCTATATCCTGAGCGTGTTACACAACAGATCTGCCTGCTTGTGAGCCTGCAAGGATGCATGCATGTGGCTACTGTGACTTCCAGATCCGTTGACAAACAGGCTGCTGGTCCAATGACAGGAGCACTTTCAGTTAGCCAGGACTACAGGGCACACCCACTTTTCAGAAGAGAAAATCGAGGATCTTCAGAGCATTAATCTCGCATTCCATCAGTGTCCCACACTGTGACCCCAAGGGCCAAATCCCTGGCACTAACAAAAGTTACTAGTTTTACTGGCACAAAGCCACATCCACATGTGTACATACTGTCCGGGGCGGTTTTCATGCTGAAATGGCAGTGTTGAGTAGTTATCACAGAGACCATAGGTCATGCAAAGCCAAAAATATGACCTCTGGCCCTTTACACAGTGTCTGTCGATCCCTGTATTCCATAAGAAAGGCTTCGGAACCGTGCAAACTACAGACCCGCTCTCCAAGACTCAGAGCCCGGCAGCAGCTAAGGCTCTGGAAAGGTCTGCAGTAAAGCTCCTCAGCTATTCCAGGTCTCTCATGAGCACAAAACCTTTTTAGAGAAACACTTCTCTGCATGCCTTCTAGTTTCTTGGAATATACTCGAAACGCTGGCTTCGACAGAAGATCGAAGAGGTGGTGTCCCCACTGTCATCCAAGAACCAAAGTGGCTTAAAGCAAGTTCTGCTAATCCTGAACAGCTCACAATAAGGTACATTTCATCCTAACCAGGAAAGGCATACTTTGGCAAAATCGTTTTTAACTCTTTAGTTCTCAGACACACAAAGTAAAAATACAAAGTCAGCACTTACACAGCCCCCAGTGATCACATACTGTCACATGGCCACAGTGGCTACAAGTTAGAAGTCGTAAAAATAGCCTACAACGGAGCCTCCGTCCCTGTACAAGTCTCCGTCCCTTGTTTCCATGAGGTTTAAGAGCTGGAGGCTCACGCTCAAATGTCAAGCAGGAGTGATTCTCCGCTGTCCCAGTGGGCTGTACTGGGAGGCACCCCTGTCATCGTGCTTATGATGTACTTACCCGTCATCATCCCTGAGCAACTCCGACGGTGCACCGTTCTGGCCCCTCGGTTATCCAAAAGCCCCTACTTTTCTAACATGTGTACAAGTAAGCGAAGTCGAAGCCTCCACAAAAGCTTACGCTTGCTATTTAGCCAGAACTCAACCGGAGGGGAGAGGGAGCACCTGCCCGGCTACCCTGGTGGGAAGAACACACCCTGCGCCACCTCCCCCTCCAAGAGCTGGTGACGGCCTTCCCCCAAAGATTCACCGCAGCTGCTGGAGTTGCGCTACTCAATCCTGCCACGTACCGCAAACTCCTGAATCCACGATCGAGCGAATGTCATGTTTATGGATGCAGATGTACAAAATGAATGGACACAACTGTGCACTTGAATCATCCAGGTTTGGTCCTGGTTTCGCCCTTTGTGTTGTTGCTTGGGCAGATCACCTCGCTCAGGTCTGGTTCCTTACCCAGAAGCGGCAGGAAGAGCATCTTCCCGTCCTGCCTCACGGGATGCGGCGAGTACCATGGTGAGGTGGGGGAAGAAGGACACTGGAAGCAAAGCACTACACATACATGAAAGATCATCATTTTGTTGTACAAGGTACTTTGGTTGGTGACTGTATTTACCCCAAACTTTTTTTAAATACGATTTCCTGTTGCATTTAAAGGGATTCACATCATAAAGTGTAATACAACTCCTTAGGAACACTTCAACAGCACAGGATGAAACAGATCTGCGTTCAATTTTCCGAAGACAGACTTAAAAAACTTTCAACTAACTAGTCTATTTGTCGTGTGTAAATCTGGCTTCAATAAAGCTGACCAAAAAAAAAAAAGTGTACTGCTTGCCTGGATATCTATTTTCCCTTCACTGTTAAATCACGAATCCCTGCTGTTGAAACACACTAATATGCTGTTCTAATCAGGACGTATTAAATAAAGACGTTTCCAAAACACCCAGCTAACTACACACTGGAAACACACAGACCTACCTCTTAACGATGGGCGCCAAGTAAAGGAAGACTACATTTGTGCGAAAGCATTGAAGGCATCAGCGTAAAACAGGAAAATGCTACAACATCTCATAACATTAAACCCAGTGCTGCTCCAGCGCTGAGGTTTGGGGGAGGCCAGCAGCACGATTTTTCCTTCTTCCACTTGCTACCTTCCTTTGGGGCACCGTCTCCAGTCCCATATCACCTCGGCATACCCTCCGCAGGAGCCTTCCCTGACCTCCTCAGCCTTCAGAGACACCTCCTACCTGTCATCAGAGGCAACGACATTGAACAGAGATGCCACCTTACCTCACTGGCATGTTTTACGCACCCCCACGTCCTCCCTGCTAGACTGCAAGCGCCCTGCAGGGAGCACCTGGCTGGTGAGCTCCCCAGGCCGGACCCCACAGACACATACCGGATGGTGGCAGTCCAAATCACTCTCATGCCACCCAGGCCTCCTCCTGCTGCTGCTCCTAACCCCTCAGTGCCCCCCAAGCACAGAGCTCCCCTCACTCACATTTTATGCAGACACAGGAAACACACCTTGCTCCGCCTGGCCCAACTTTCTCCTGGGAACCTCAAAAACACATCCCATCACTAAGACGAGGCTGAGTCTCTTCCTACTGTCCCATCTAACCCAATGCCTTTACTCCTTTGATTGTACATAATGAAATTCCTTTGGTCCTTTATTTGCTTAATATATATCCTTAAGATGTCTGTCTCAGACTAGTAGTTATGGGAGACAAGGCTGTACCTCGTTTAATGTACTCGGTGATGATCCCTTCCTTGGCCCCACGCTAACAGACCCTTGCACGATAATGTGACGTGATAAATGTATGACCAAGGGGACTCGACATCAAGTATGATTATGAACTTTATTCTTAAATGATTTACATTAGAGCTATCAAAAACTTTTTTTATTCCACATTTGGAAAACAGCAAGCCCTCATGCCTTACGAGGATCAAAACTGGAAAGGAAGTGGGGGACGGGGAAGCGGCCTAGAGGGAAAAAGCCTTCCCGATAAACTTTGTGATTAGCAACACATCAAGCAAGTAGGTGACCATCCAAGAGCAGAACTAGCCAAAAAGGCCATTCTTTGGGTTCCATCTTGGGAACTGCTAAATGCATACAGTTGGACAAGCCTTTCTGTGAAGTCTTGTTAGTAATTTATCCCTCCATAAAAAGCAAAATCTGCAATAACCTCATTCAACAATAGGAAAACTGCAAAGCCATTCAAAAAGTTACCAGTTTCAGAAGGCAAGCTTCAAAGCTGAACTTGCCTGGCATAATCTATCTTTCATACAGTTAAAGACTTTTCACTAAAACATAGCAAGATTAAAAAAGCAAAATCTGTTCTGCAGTAAAAGGTTGTTTCCACATTTCTTACTTCAGAGAAGTTGATGTGACAAAGTAACTCTTTGTCAACTCTTTACCAATTAATAAAAAAGTATTATTAGTGACTTTCCGGTCCCAAGAAACTTATCTACTCCCCCTGCCAGCTCCATCATTTAAGAAATTTCATTTAAACTAAGCAAGAATCTCCTTACGGCAGATTTTTTTTATCATTTCTCTCACTCCTACAGTAATATTCTAGGAACTGTACTAAAACTGAAGCCACAAAATTCAAGTTTTGTTTCAACAGAAGAGACTTTTTAGACCATTAGTAGAAATATGCCGGTGGCCACAGAAATGTTTGCACAAGTGGAGCAGCTGTGTCTACGGCAAAACCGAAGGCATTGCTGCAGCAATATAATTCAATTTGGATCCATTCATTATAAACTGATTTTCAGATGCTGCTACTGCGAGACCCTACTGGAGAAATGCAGGCTGCGCTGGAGACAGAATTGTTCGCAGCGGCGCACAAGTTTTTACTGCAAAGGAGAGGCTCTGAAAGAGGAAATCCAACTCGATCATAACGCTACCATGAACCATCCCAGAAGAGCCCAGAATTGTTAAATGAAGAGAAATTAAAATACTTCTCTTGGGCAACTGATGGGATTACCTCAGAAAGTTTTCAGAGATGCTGTTGCAAGGAATGTTTTATTGAACCTCCTGCCAAAAAATTTTTTTTCTGGAAAAACTGCAATTCCGACATTCCTTAACAGAATTTTTTATACATCTACACTGTAAAAGCCACACGGGCTCAAGTGGAGATTGCAGCCCAAGACGATCTGCTATTTAACTTTCTTTTCAGGTTATACCTCTGAAATTAAACACACCACAGCAACTTTGAGGACGTCCCGCTACCGATGTTCGGGGTGGGGAAAACGTTACGACTTACGCGATCAAACAACGAGAGTTTTCAAGGTAACTGCTGAACAATGTCTTCCCAAGGAGCACATTCCAAGAAACTTCTAAGTCGTAACTCCCGGGCTGGCTGCTGCTACGACAGCGCTGCGCACTGTGCTACTAGCTCAGAAAACACTTTGGGTGCCCCCCCTGCGTTGCACTTTTTCCTTCCCTAACCAAGAAACGTACCCTCTTGCTGTCATCCCTCCAGGCAGCCCCGCGTGAGCCGACGCACGGAGGCACGGGGAGGCGCGTGGAATCCCCACGAAGACCACCAGCACGCTCCACTTTACTTTTCCTCCGCCCAAGTACCGCTCGCTTTCGGCGCGCGGGGGGCCTCCCCAACTCCGGGCCGGCCGGGAGCGCCGGGACAGGGCCGACCCGCTCGGGCCCCGGCGCAGTCTGGCGACAAACTTCCCCCTCGGCCGGCCCGCCGGGGTCCCGGGAGGCGGCCGCGCCGGCCTGCGCCTCCGGGAGGGT